GAGCAGAGAGGTGACAGGGACAAGGAGCTGCCACCAAGGTGGGATGGGAGCAGAGAGGTGACAGGGGAGAGCAGAGAGGTGACAGGGACAAGGAGCTGCCACCAAGGTGGGGATGGGAGCAGAGAGGTGACAGTGGGGAGCAGAGAGGTGACAGGGACAAGGAGCTGCCACCAAGGTGGGGTGGGAGCTGTGCTGGTGACAGGGGGGAGCAGAGAGGGTGACACTCACTGCTGAGCTGCTCAGCCACCCTGCTGAATATCCAGAACTGTCAGAGTTTCATTTTAACATCTGCCACTCTCACCAGCCAGTGCTGCTGGGGAGGTTTGGGCTGTGGCTTTATCTCATTCCCTTTTGTTAGTGATTCTGTAAAAACYTATTAACTTTATCAAGGGAAGTGATTATTCCCCTCTTCTTTTGTGATTTTTCACAGCAGTTTAGAATTTGTTTTTAATTCCATGAGCTGCCAAGCAGGTCTTGGCAAATCACCTCTTCTGTTCCAATTTCTCAAAAATCTAAGTATGAAATTCTCTGTCTCATTTGTTTCCCCTCTCTCCCCTTCAGTGTCTGCAGCTCCTCACTCATACCTTCAATCGAGAATTCAACCAGGTGTACAACAGCATCAGTGATTGYAAGGTAAATATTTCCTGTAATACAATACACTCTATTTGCAGTACAATAGCAGTGTGGTTGTGGGTTGTGGAATCTGCTGATACTATCAAAAGATAAACCACTTCATATTAATTCTGTTGATTTTTATTTTCAGTCTGTTGGAATCATTTGGCTGTTGAACATCAGGTTCCAAAGGCTATGGCAGGAATTGGAAATGGACACTAGTGCAGTGTCCAGTTTATTTGCACACTCTTACTGTATTTCTCTGTGTATACTTTCCCTACGTTAAAGGATAAATTGACTCTTAAAAATTCTGCCTTTGTTCAAAGGGAATCCCAGGTTTCAAACTGGATAATGCAGTATCCATTGAGGAAGTCAGAGTGTGAATAATCAGAAGTGTAGGGTGTTGATAATCACGAGCTGTGTCCTCACAAGTGCTGCTGTATTTCTGCCCCCACATGGGTTTCTGGTGGTTTGTGCAATGATTTACCTGAGTATGGGAATGGCTGATGGAAATGGTTTTGTTATCTGAGCCATCCCTGCTGGAATCCCATTGATCCAGAGTGAGCAGCAGCTCCAGTCAGCTCCTGTTTGTAAATGCTGTTTGTAAATGCTGTCTGTAAATGCTGTTTGTAAGTGCTGCTTGTAAATGCTGTTTGTAAGTGCTGTTTGTAAATGCTCCTGTTGGTAAGTGCTGTTTGTAAGTGCTGTTTGTAAGTGCTGTTTGTAAGTTCTGTTTGTAAGTGCTGTTTGTAAGTGCTGTTTGTAAGTGCTGTTTGTAAGTGCTGTTTGTAAGTGCTGTTTGTAAGTGCTGTTTGTAAGTGCCGTTTGTAAGTGCTGTTTGTAAATGCCGTTTGTAAATGCTGTTGTTGGTAAATGCTGTTGGTAAATGCTGTTGTAAATGCTGTTTGTAAATGCTCTCTCTCTGTGTTTGCAGCTGTCTGATATTTCTCCCCTTGGCCGGGACCCGTCCGTGTCCAGTTTCAGCAGTGCCACCCTCACCCCTTCCTCCACCTGCCCTTCTCTGGTGGATTCCAGGTGCAATTCCGTTGATCAGAAGTAAGTGTGGTGTATTCAGAGCAAAACCTCAATTTTCAGTGCTTCACAGATATCTTAGCTGTTTTCGATTTCTTTTTCCTCTTTTTTTCCTTTTCCCTGCTTTCAGATATTTCCCTGTACAGCCCCCTTGCTTTASTTCTCCAGTCACTCTGCACAATTCTTTTTCCCCATTTTGTCCTTTTGAAGTGTTTTTTTCCCTTTGTGCTGGGGTAACAGTCAAATGCTTTTCATTCCAGTGGCCAGTGCATCTGCAGTGTGCAGGGTCCACAAGTGTTTTCAGAGTTCTGTTGAAAAGGGYTACTAATAACAACCCAGAATAAACCAGTTTGGCCATTAATCTCTGTTTATCTTTCTCAACTGTATCTGTACAAGATATTTTGAATGAAATTGGGAGTAACTATGTAGTGAAAGACATGATTTGTATCTTCTAAGTTCAATATCCCTGAGGGGAGGAGTGCTGAGGAGGTTGTACATTTTCCATCAAACCATAGTAAGAAGTATGTCTGTGTTGTGACTGTATTTAGCAGGAGAAAC